AGACCTTTTCTTCATTGTAGGATTTTCAATTTATCATACTTTAGTTTTAGGTCTTTATCATACTTTAGGTCTTTAGGATTCTGCCAACTTTTTTTTTCTTTTTCTTTCTTTCTTTTTTTTTTAAGAGAGGGAGGGGGGTAGGGACAAAGGGAGAGGGACAGAGATTCTCTCAGTAGGCTCCAGGCTCATCACAGAGCCAGACATGGGGCTTGATCTCACAAGCCTGAGATCATGACCTGAGCTGAAATCAAGAGTCAGATGCTTAACTGACTGAGTCACTCAGGTGCCCTAGCTTTTTTTTTTTTCCCTAAAATAAATATTCAGTCTAGTTTTTTTTTATATGCCCTATTCTGCCAGCCATATTATCTTTAACTCTCTATTATGAGCACCAGTATTCTCTCCATTCTTATAACTATGGAATATGTGAGATTATCGTTCATTCTACATATTTGTCAACCAGGTTAGTAGGTGCTGCTTTTATCATTTTGACTGAATAAAGAAATTGAAAGTGGCTAAATATGTGTAAGACATTCCCACTAACATAATCTGCCTTTTCTATTTACCATGTTTTTGGTAGCAACTGTCTGACTGACTACATTCTTGTCTTAAAGAAGATCTACTTTTCTTAGAATTGTAGACTTTTTCTTTTTTCTTGGTGCGATGTCTGTGCTATAGAAATTTTAGCCATTGCTTGCTTTACTGCAGTTCAAAGCACTGACTTGATTTCTTTTCATGTCATTGCTATTCTATATTGTTAAGGAAATGAGCCTCATTCAGAGATGTAGTCTATTTTAGTCATTTTTGAAAACTAAAGAATGAATTATTTAAAGTCAAAACACATTTCCTCTGTGGAGTAATATATGGCTCCACAGCCTATGGCATGGAGAAATAAAATAATCCCCAATGCATAGAGTTGCATACTAAATAATGTCCACATACTGCTCTGGGTTAACTATAAATTCTCACTAGTGTTAATTAAAAATTATGTGGCAAAGCTTCTAAACCACTCAACGGACCTTTAATTCTTCTTCTTCCTGATGCCCATAGTTAAACTATTTGCCATTTTCTTAGATGCCTTCTTTTCATCCTTCATATTTATACTATATTTTACTGGTAAATTATTTCTGGAAATTATACAAGTTAAAACTTGCATTTTTATCAAATCCATGGATACTTACTATTTTTCTTCATGGAAATACTACCTGACTTTGAGTAAATTACCCTCACCTCAGGCACACCAGCTCTGTACCTATAAAAATCTATGTAACAAAGGAATTGTGAGCTTTATTTAATTTGTTGAACTAGATAAAAATAGTTTGGGACATTTAATTCACATCTCTGTGAAGGTATGAAATATCATCATTGGACTTCCTATGATTTAAAATGATATTCAAATATGTAAATTGCTATAGATTGCTTTGAGTAATATGGACTTTTAACAATATTGGTTCTTCCAGTCCTTGGGAATGGAATATCTTTCCATTTTTTTATATCATCTTCAATTTCTGCCACCAGTGTTTTATAGTTTTCAGAGTCCAGGTCTTTCACTCCTTGGTTAAGTTTCTTCCTAGGTATTTTATTATTTTGGGTAAAATTGTAAATGGGATAGTTTTCTTAATTTCTCTTTCTGATAGTTTATTATTAGTGTATAGAGATGTAGCAATTTCTGTATATTAATTTTGCATCTTATGACTTTACTGAATTCATTTATTAGTTCTAGCAGTTTTTTGGTGGAGTCTTTAGTGTTTTCTATATAGAGTATCATGTCATCTGCAAACAGTAAAAGTTTTACTTCCTTACCAATCTGGATGCCTTTTATTTCCTTTTCTTGTCTGATTGCTGTGATTAGGGCTTTCAGTACTACCTTGAAAAAAACTAGTGAGAGTGGACATCCTAGTCCTGATCTTAGATGAGAAGCTCTCAGTTTTTCTCCCTTAAAGATGGTATTAACTGTGGATTTTTCATATATGACCTTTATTATGTTGAGGGATATGTTCCCTCTGAACCTACTTTGTTGACAGTTTTTATCATGAACGGATGTTGTACTTTGTCAGATGTTTTTTCTACATCTCTTGAGATGATTATATGGTTTTTGTCCTTGCTCTTGTTAATCTGATGTGTCATGTTGATTAATTTTTGAGTAATGAACCACCCTTGCATCGCAGGAATAAATGCCACTTGATTGTAGCGAATGATTTTTTTCATGTGTTGCTGGATTCAGTTTGCTAATATTTTGTTGAAGATTTTTGCATCTATGTTCATCAGAGATATGGACCTATAGTTTTCTTTTTTTGGTATTGTCTTTTTGGGGTTTCAATATCAGCAAATCTGGTCTTATAGAATGAATTTGGAAACTTTCCTTCCTCTTTTATTTTTTGGAATAGTTTGAGAAGAATTGGTATAAATTCTTTAAACGTTTGATAGAATTTACCTGTGAAAATTGTTAAAGTGGCCATATTACTCAAAGCAATCTATAGATTTAATGTAATCCCTATCAAAATACCAATGACAGTTTCCACAGAACTAGAACAGATATTCCTAAAATTTGTATGGAACCCCCAAATACCCCAAGTAGCTGAAGCAGTCTTGAAAAAGAAGAACAAATCTGGAGGCATCACTATCCCAGATTTCAAGATATACTACAAAGACGTAGTCATCACAACAGTATGGTAATGGCACAAAAAATAGACATATCAATAGAACATAATAGAGAATCTAGAAATAAACCCACACTTATATTGTCATCTCCTACAGAGGAGGTAAGAATATACAATGGGGAAAAACAGTCCTTTCAACAAATGATTTTGGGAAAACTGGACAACTACATGGAAAAGAAAATGGACCACTTTTTTACACCATTACACAAAAATAAACTCAAAATGGATTAAAGACTTAAATATGAGACCTGAAACTATAAAACTGCTAGAAGAAAACATGGGCAATAATTTCTTTTACATCAGCCATGGAAATATTTTTCTAGATATGTCTCCTCATTCAAGAGAAACAAAAGCAAAATTAAACTCTTGTGATTAAACCAAAATAAAAAGCTTTTACACAGCAAAGGAAAAAATCAACAAGACAAAAAAAGCAGTCTACTCAATGGGAGAAAATATTTTCAAATGATATATCTGATAAGGGGTTACTATCCGAAATATATGAAGAACTTATACAACTCAATATCAAAAAAACAAATGATCATATTTAAAAAATGGACAGAGAACACATAGACATTTTTCCAAAGAAGACATACGTATGGCATGAGGACATATGAAAAGGTGTTCAGCATTACTAACCATCAAGGAATTGCAAATCAAAACAATTCCTTTATACCTGTCAGAATGGCAAAAAACATAAACAAAAATGAAACACACACACACACACACACACACAAGAAATAGCAAGTGTTGGCAAGAATGTGGAGAAAAAGAACCCTCATGCACTATTGGTGGGAATGAAGATTGGTACAGCCATGGTAGAAAACAGTGTAGAGGTTCCTTAAAAATTCAAAAGTAGAATTATCTTATGATCCAGTAATTCCCCTACTGGATATTTTTCCAAAGCAAATGAAAACACTAATTCAAAAAGATACATTCACTTAAGTTTATTGCAGCCTTATTTACAATAGTCAAGATATTGAAGCAATTCAAGTGTCCATTCACAGATGAATGGATGTGGTGTGTGTGTATACAAATATACACACACACCATACGCTATATATAAAGTGGTACACACACACACACACACACACTCACACACACACACACAATGGAATATTATTCAGCCATTTGCAACAACATGGATGGACCTAGAGGGTATAATGCTAAGTGGAGTAAGTCAGTCAGAGAAAGGCAAATATATGATTTTACTCATATGTAGAATTTAAGAAACCAAAGGAAAAAAAAGAGACAAAAAAAAAAACCCACGGACTCTTTTTTTTTAAAGATTTTATTTATTTATTTGAGAGAGTGAGAGAGAGAGAGAGCATGAGAGGGGGGAGGGTCAGAGGGAGAAGCAGACTCCCTGCTGAGCAGACTCTTAAATACAGAGAACAAACTAATGGTTACCAGAGAGGAAGGGGGTGGGGGAGAATGGGTGAAAGAGAGAAGTGGGATTAAGAATACACTTACTAGTGAGTAATGTATAGAATTGATGAATCTTTGTATTGTACACCTGAAACTAATATAACACTCTATGTTCATTATACTTCAATTAAAAAGTATGAATTTCTTTGAAAATTCTATGTTCATTCCTAAGCTCCCTTTAGATGAAACCATTATGCCTTCTGTTATTATACCCAGATTTATGAAGCACAAACTATGGATTAGGGACTGTGTTTGGCCTAAGAAAACACATCCCAAACTCCTGCTTCTAAGGGGCTTGGAGTCTGGAGGGGCAGACAGAGCTGTAATACAACTCTTCTATGAGGTGGTAAACATTTAACATAGGAAGAGAAGGGTTCTTAGGTGGCATGAAACATAGAGAACCCACCCTGGGGCTTGGTTAACAAAGAAAAGGCAAAACAAGGGGAGAGGGAAGCTATTTCCTCGAGTTTCGAGGTTGAGCAGACCTCCAGGAGCACAAGAGGGAATGGTCAGTGTAGGTAAAGGAAGTAGCGGATGTGCACACCGGAAAAGATGAAGAGCAGGTGACCTGTTGGTGAGCCCTTCAGGAGTAGGATGCACTGTCGTTTAACTGCAGGTACCTACGAGGAGAGTCACAGAAAATGAGACTAGAAAACTAAGCTGGAACCCAACGCAAATCATTTTTAGTGCCTGGATTAAGATGTTGGGTTTAAGGAATGGATGATTTTGAAAACACAGTGTGTATAACTTGCTGAAAAATTGGATGTGGGACTGAGCAGGGAGGTATCTAGAAGTCTGCCTTGGATCCCTATTCAAATCAGTAACTTATTTGAATGTATCTATAAAACTACTAAAAGGAATATTCAAATTTAAAGAAATATTATAAAAATGACTTTGTTTTTATTTTTTTTTCCCCAGTGGGAGAGACTTCTGAGAGTTGTCCGGAAGCCACTGATTTTTTGTGCCACGACAAGAAGTGTGTTGCATCCCACCTTGTCTGTGACTATAAGCCAGACTGCTCTGACAGGTCTGATGAGGCTCACTGTGGTAAGTGGATCTGTCTGCTCTGATGCAGCCCATTCAGCACAGATTTCACTTTATTAGGAAAGTAACATACTGGCATTGATGACGGAGAGGAAATGTTCTTTTCATGCACCAGAGTAGATTTAAAATAGCCAGAACCTTTTTTTTCCCAGCTTCTCTATCCACACATCCAAATCGCAGCCCTCTCAACCGTTTTACCCCCATACTAAACACCACAGCAAATCTTGTCAAAAAATTTCTCAGCATGTCATTGTGCAGAACTACATGGGGGGTCAGAATTTTAATCACCAGAAACTGACCTATCTGTCTACATTTCTTCATTTCCTTTTCCATTTGATGGAAAGATAATGCTAAAAATGAGCACTTCAAATAAATACGAGTAAATGATTAATTTTATCAATTACATTGCTCGGGAAAAGAGAACTAGATTGGCCACATTGTTTTTTTTATTCAAACTTTAATTCAAGTGATTGTTAAAAGTCATGCATAAAACCAAGTATGTAGTTTTCAAATATGAGCATGTATTTAAATCCAAAAAAAATTTTTTTTGGATTTCTTATTAATGAGCCTTCATAGGGAACCTTGCTACCATATAGGCTACCTGTTGCAGTTAGAGTTTGTTGCAGAGCAAACTCCCTTAAAGGTTAGTAACCTAAAAAAGTTTCATTTTGCTCTCAATTTTATGGATCAGTGATTCAGAAAAGAATCAGCGTGGCAGGTTCTCATCCACATGGCTCCAACTGGTATACCTGGAACTGGAGGGTCACTTTCGAGATGGCTTCCTCCCCTCCGGGTTTGGCACATTAGTACTCTTTGGTCTCTCTGTCTGGCTTGACATAGTATCTCATTCTCCAGGGCAATCTAATGTAGCTTGGGCTTTCCATAACAGGGCTGTCACGGGACAGTCAGATATCTTGCATGGGATTGGCTTTTACCAGAGTAAATGCTCTCAAGAGCAAGCATTCCAAGAGCCACAGGAAAAACAGGAAGAATTTGTATAACTTAGCCTAGGAAATTCTAGAATGTCACTCTTGGCTCTTTCTAATGGTCATGCAAATTAAAATGTCTAGCTTCAATTCAAAGAGAGAAAGGGGATAGACTCCACCTTTGGGACAATGTTATGCATATACAGGAAGGGAGTACCACAGAGGTCATGTTCCAGTTTTTCTTTTTAACTCAGTATCATTTTTATTCCTCAGGATCTTAGAGTACTGATGCTTCTGAAGTGTTCATTTTATCATCTTTTTTTGTATTTATTAATTTTCTTAAATTGTGGTAAAATGTACATAACATAAAATTGACCATTTTAACCATTTCTAACCGTATAGTTCAGGGGCAATAAGTGCATTTGCGTTGTTATCCAGATACCACCACTCATCACCAGAACATTTTTTCATCTGGAAAAACTGAAACTCTATACCCATTAAGCAATTAACACCGCATTTTCTCTCCCCCGGGCCCTGAAAGCCGCCATTTGATTTTCTGTTTCTATGCATTGGACAATCTGGGTATGTAGTACCAGTATTTGGAATCATACACTATCTGTCTTGCTGGGATAGGCTTATTTCACTTATCATAAATTTCTCAACATTAATGCTATATTTTAATTTTATTTTTTTAAATTTTTTATTGTTATGTTAATCACCATACATTACATCATTAGTTCTTGATGTAGTGTTCCATGATTCATTGTTTGTGCATAACACCCAGGGCTCCATGCAGAAGGTGCCCTCTTTAATACCCATCACCAGGCTAACCCATCCCCCTACCCTCCTCCCCTCTAGAACCCTCAGTTTGTTTTTCAGAGTCCATCGTCTCTCATGCTTCGTCTCCCCTCCGACTTACTCCCCTTCATTCTTCCCTGCCTGGTATCTTCTTCTTTTTCTTTTTTCTTAACAAATGTTGCATTATTTGTTTCAGAAGTACAGATCTGTGATTCAACAGTCTTGCACAATTCACAGCGCTCACCATAGCACATACCCTCCCCGATGTCTATCACCCAGCCACCCATCCCTCCCACCCCCCACCACTCCAGCAACCCTCAGTTTGTTTCCTGAGATTAAGAATTCCTCATATCAGTGAGGTCATAGGATACATGTCTTTCTCTGATTGACTTATTTCACTCAGCATAACACCCTCCAGTTCCATCGACGTCGTTGCAAATGGCAAGATCTCATTCCTTTTGATGGCTGCATAATATTCCATTGTGTATATATACCACTTCTTCTTTATCCATTCATCTGTCGATGGACATCTTGGCTCTTTCCACAGTTTGGCTATTGTGGACATTGCTGCTATAAACATTGGGGTGCACATACCCCTTCGGATCCCTACATTTGTATCTTTGTGGTAAATACCCAGTAGTGCAATTGCTGGATCGTTGGTAGCTCTATTTTCAACTGTTTGAGGAACCTCCATACTGTTTTCCAGAGTGGTTGCACCAGCTTGCATTCCCACCAACAGTGTAGGAGGGTTCCCCTTTCTCCGCATCCCCGCCAACATCTGTCGTTTCCTGACTTGTTCATTTTAGCCATTCTGACTGGTGTGAGGTGGTATCTCATTGAGGTTTTGATTTGGATTTCCCTGATGCCGAGTGATGTTGAGCACTTTTTCATGTGTCTGTTGGCCATTTGGATGTCTTCTTTGGAAAAATGTCTGTTCATGTCTTCTGCCCATTTCTTGATTGGATTATTTGTTCTTTGGGTGTTGAGTTTGATAAGTTCTTTATAGATTTTGGATACTAGCCCTTTATCTGATATGTCATTTGCAAATATTTTCTCCCATTCTGTCAGTTGTCTTTTGGTTTTGTTGACTGTTTCTTTCGCTGTGCAAAAGCTTTTTATCTTGATGAAATCCCAATAGTTCATTTTTGCCCTTGCTTCCCTTGCCTTTGGGGATGTTTCTAGGAAGAAGTTGCTGCGGCTGAGGTCGAAGAGGTTGCTACCTGTGTTCTCCTTTAGGATTTTGATGGACTCCTGTCTCACGTTTAGGTCTTTCAACCATTTGGAGTCTCTTTTTGTGTGTGGTGTAAGGAAATGGTCCAGTTTCATTCTTCTGCATGTGGCTGTCCAATTTTCCCAACACCATTTGTTGAAGAGACTGTCTTTTTTCCATTGGACATTCTTTCCTGCTTTGTCAAAGATGAGTTGACCATAGAGTTGAGGGTCCATTTCTGGGCTCTCGATTCTGTTCCATTGATCGATGTGTCTGTTTTTGTGCCAGTACCATACTGTCTTGATGATGACAGCTTTGTAATAGAGCTGGAAGTCCGGAATTGTGATGCCGCCAGCTTTGCTTTTCTTTTTCAATATTCCTCTGGCTATTCGGGGTCTCTTCTGGTTCCATACAAATTTTAGGATTATTTGTTCCATTTCTTTGAAAACAGTGGATGGTATTTTGATGGGGATTGCATTGAATGTGCAGATTGCTCTAGGTAGCATTGACATCTTCACAATGTTTGTTCTTCTAATCCATGAGCATGGAACATTTTTCCATTTCTTTGTGTCTTCTCCAATTTCTTTCATGAGTATTTTATAGTTTTCTGAGTACAGATCCTTTGCCTGTTTGGTTAAATTTATTCCTAGGTATCTTATGGTTTTGGGTGCCATTGTAAATGGGATCGACTCCTTGATTTGTCTCTCTTCTGTCTTGTTGTTGGTGTATAGGAATGCCACTGATTTCTGTGCATTGATTTTATATCCTGCTACTTTACTGAATTCCTGTATGATATATTTTAATTTTAAACTAAAGTGTCAAGGAAGTGAAAATCACTGGCACTTCTTAAGACTGTACTATCAATGCTACAGTATTATAATCTTATTTTATAAACGATCATGTATTTCCTTTATAACATATGCATTCTCAAATGAAATTTATAATATATTGAAAAATACTTTCTAGTGTTCTTTTTTTAAAAGCTTCTATTTAAATTTAAGTTAGTTTTTTTCCCCTAGTGTTCTTCCTAGCTTTTTTTTCTCTTTTTTATTATGTTATGTTAATCACCATGCATTACATCATTAGTTTTTGATGTAGTGTTCCATGATTCATTGTTTGTGTGTAACTTGGGACTTCCTAGCCTCTTTAAAAGCACTCCAAAAAAAAACATTTTTTGATACTGACTGTAAAGAACCGATTGCAATGGAGCTCGAAAAACTGCTCCAAAACATTTGTAAAATCACTATTTTCCCCACCGGGCATAACAAGTAGAGAGTATTTAGAAATCACCAGCAAAACAAAATAAAAATTCTAAAGGAAGAATAATTTGAACATGATGACATTGACATAATAAAGCAGTGAGGGGAAGGAGAGCTGTTCACATGCACAAAGAAAAAATAGTTACAGGAAGTAAATTTTCTTCCTCTCATTTCAAGATGCACATGTATCGAACATATTCATATAAAATAAATAAATAAATCTTTAAAATCAAACAAACAAAAAAAACCCAAATATTATATTCTTCCGTTTATTGCTATTCTTAGTATGGGCTAGGAACAACTTTCTAAATGTTGAATAAATAGAAAAATGAATAAGACATCGGCTTAGACTTAAGCAACTCACTTTCTACTATTGGGGAGGGGCAGGAGGATATATTAAAATAGAGTGTTCTTTGCTTTCTGAAAAAGTTGGTTATAAAAGAATTCTGATTACTTTTGGAATGTAACAAGTGCTATTAATAATAAGGTTATCACAGTGTATTTGAGGAGTGCCAATGAAGAATAGTGGGTGTGTGCACGCATCCGAGCGTGTGCCCAGGCAGTGTAAATATCGGCTTGTGAAACCTAAATAGTCACTAAGTATTTTGGTTTTTCAAATGTGAATGCTACTTTTCTTTTTTTCCCCCTTGGCTTCACTCATTTTTCCTCTCAGGCTGCTTTATATTATTTTTATTTTTCCCACAGCTATTTGAAGTATTGATGTAAAAATACACAAAGGCAGTTTTGATTTTCAGAACCTGAGTCAGTTGCACACTCATATTTCTTAGTGTGACTTACAACTTCGGTGGA